AAATGAACGAATTATTTTGTTTTATTTATCTATATTATTTTAATTTCGTATAACACCAACATAAAACAACTACATATTATAAATACAATATATGATGCAATAAATGAATGTGCATACCTCATATTACATGAATTTCGTAATATATAATGAGTAGGTATTAGCTCATAATTTGCATAGTTTACAGTTAGAGTTGGATAAGTTAATATTTTTTTAAACTAAACTAATAAAGTTAACGACTTATAAAATTAATTTAGTTACATTAAAAGTTGCATAAAAGTTGCATAAATGGAAAAATCTAATTCATTTAAAGTTACGTTAAGAACTGAATTAACTTAAGTTAAATAAAATTAATTTTATTTGAGTTAGTACTTGAATTAGCTTTGAAATAAATTACTTTTATTAAATCAGAATTTCTTAATCTTTCTTGAAATCAAATTACGTTAAATAATGAAATTAAATAATAAAAAAATGAAACAATTTAATATAAACTTTAAATAACGAAATAATTACAATATAAGTTATCAGATAAATTTAATATTTTATTTGTAAATTTTGAAATGAAATTGGTTTTTACTAATAGGTACGACTTTTGTCTACCTAAGATTTCATTCGAAAACAGTGCTATTGCGTAATTTTCTTTTTATCGCTCATTAGACGTAAAATAAAGATAGAATAACACAAAAGCACTGATAACGCTTTCCTAAATGTAGACTTTAAAATTTGTCAATTTCTTATATGTTCATCTTTGGACATTATGAACGTCCATCATGTTAATCATTGAGCTTTTTTTCAACTTCTCTCTCTAACATTTAAGATTATACAGAAAAAAAGATATCGTTTAGAAAGAAAAAAATTTTTAAAAGAAAAACTTAATAAATTAAAGTTCAAAAGTAATTAGATTAAGTTAAAAATTAATTTATTTAAAATTAATTAAATTAAATTAAAAGTTAACTTTTTTATTTCTTATTTAACTTTTATACTCTATTTATAATATTTAACTTATTAACTAGTCACTATTCAAGCCTATTTACAATATATTATAAAAAATTGTGCAAGCGTAATCATACATTGTATTAGGTGTACAACTTTGCTTCCGCCTATAGATGGCTTTAGCGGTAAGTGGTGGTCGAAATAAATAGATCATAGAATAAACTTGGTCATACAATAAACTTGGACATCTGTCAACATAACCCCATAGAAACAAAAACAGTCGATTTGCGTCTGCATCAGAAAGTTATTCTCGATTGAAAATGTCAGTTTACGAGCCAAATTCTCGTCATTTGCGAGAGGTTTTAATTTTTTGCTTCTATAGAAGAAAGAAATCTGCGGCTGAGACTCATCGAATGCTCTCAAATGCTTATGGTGAGGCCGCTATTAGTTAGAAAGAACGTGTCGTGAGTGGTTTCAACGCTTCAAGAACGGTGATTTTGTCAAGACGTCGAAGACCGGCATAGCGGTGGAAGAGAGAAGGTTTTCGAAGATGCAGAATTGGAGGCATTACTTGAGCAAGACTCGTGTCAAAATCAAGAAGAATTGGCACGATCATTGAGAGTGACTCAACAAGCGATTTCAAAACGCCTCAAAGTTATGGTTCAGAATGATTCAGAAGCAAGGAAATTGGGTGTCGTACGAATTGAAGCCGAGAGATGTTGAACGGCGTTTGTTTGCTTGTGAACAGCTGCTTGAAAGGCAAAGACGGAAGGGATTTCTGCAGCGCATTGTGACTGGGGACGAAAAATGGGTTCATTACGATAATCCTAAGCGCAGAAAATCATGGGGAGTTCCCGGCCATGCTTTCACGTCGACGGCCAAACCGAATATTCACGGCTCCAAGGTCATGCTCTGTATTTGGTGGGACCAGCTCGGCGTAGTGTATTATGAACTGTTAAAACCGACTGAAACAATCACAGGCGATCGGTATCGAACGCAATTGATGCGTTTGAGCTGAGCATTGAAAGACAAACGGCCGCAATACAACGAGAGACACGATAAAGTGATTTTGCAGCATGACAATGCTCGACCCCATGTTGCGAAAGTGGTCATGACATACTTGGAAACGTTGAAATGGGAAGTCCTATCCCACTCGCCGTATTCTCCAGACGTTGCTCCCTCTATCACTTGTTTCGATCAATGGCACACACGGCCTGGCTGACCAGCACTTCCG